TTTATATGCGTGTATACTTTGAAAAAATATACGTATGTGTATATATATACATATGTAGGTGTACGGTGCACTCAATTGTGGGCGTGAAATGCACCAAGGAGTAAGTATAAATATATGTATGTAAAGAAATACTGTCTTTGTGGAAAATATATATAGTATGTACATATATGTTTGCCAAGCGTTAGTTCTGAAAAAGGTAGAGGAAGGTAGACTTTTCCTCAACCTTATCGAAAAATACGTCTTACTGCTATAGTTCACTGTTCACTGAGGGTTCTCTATGACAGCGATTTTTAAATAATTTCCCTTTAATCAAGAAACTTTGTCGGTTTAAATATTGGAGCTTACATTCATATAAATATTTTGTTTTGAATCTAATTGGAAATAAGCGTCTGGAGTTGGCTTAATTATTTTAAATATATGTACATATGTATCAATATATTATATAATATATCTGTTGGATTTATCAATTATTTAGGCATCGAAATTAATTAATAGTGTAAGTAAAAGTGTAGATTTCAAGAATCGTGTCTTTTTAACTGCATATTACTGTATTTGTTACCTGGACTTAAACCCACACACTTATAACGTCCATCTCACATAACAACGGAAGCCAGCTGAGCATTCACTGTGCCGTACATCGATTTGATGCTAGAACAACAAGCAGTGAACTGAGACTCTTCCAACAAAAATTTCTTCAATGACGAGGCACATTTCCACTCGAGGCGTATGAAAATAAGCAAAATTATCGCATTTGGTGCCCCGAAAATCCCCACATAATTGCAGAGATGCCATTAGACTAAAATAAAGAACTTACGACTTGGTGCACTTTTTGATCTTTATTGCTCTGAAAACGACAACGGTGAGGCTGTCACTGTAAATTCGTGACGTTATGGTCCCATGATAACCATTTTATTTTGCTCAGCATTTGAAGAGCACGATTTGAATAATATGTAGTTTCAATGACTCGAAACCGTTGGACTTTTTCTTTGGGGCTACGCAAAAGATCGTCCTTATGCAGATAAACATCCTACTCGTGAGCACTTGAGATCATCATTTATTTAGTTCTGGTGGAGGTTCCCCCCAATATTTGACAAAAAAGTGGTCGAGCATTACCTCAAACGGATCGGAGTTTTCAAAAAATTTTGGAGGCGGTTATCTCAGTGATGTAGTGTTTCCCATATAATGCGAAAGAATCAATCAGATTTTATAATGCAAAATTAATTTCATGAAATAAAGTATTTCGAAAGCATTTCATTCAATATTTATTTTGAAAACCATAAAATGAATAACCCTCTACATGTGTTTATGTGATTTATCAATCAATACTTTATTATATGTAAAGTTAGTTTCAAATATAAAATTTTTAGAAATATTTACTTGAGATATGCTTACGTTTATATATATATGTGTACTCATCTTATAAATATCCTAACGACTTTCACAACTTTAATTACATTTATTGTTTCTGCGAAATTTCATATTCCCATAAAATAGTTTTTTATCTAATTGGCTTCCTTACAATACAATTGATTTTCATTGCGAAGAAATTTGCTATTTTAATTCATGATTTTTTTCCTTTTTTTCGTTTAATGGAAATTTAATGCAAAAACCAAATCCAAGTAATTACTTCCTTGCGACTTAGAGTATTTAGTATGAAGCTTAAAAACTGAAGATAACAATTCAAGCGCTACGTTTGGGATATCTGTCTTTTCTTTGGCAATCAAAAAAGTGCCTTGTTTCTGCCTACCTGTTTGCCTTTTATGCAACCCGCTTCAAATTTGTGTGGAATTATTACGTGTGTAACAGTACAATTTAAAACCAAACGACACAAAAAGAAACGCTAGGAAGTACAATTATATTGAGCTTGTTTTTGAGTGCCAACTGCTACTTTGACCAGACTAAAATTATAACTCGGTTAAGAAAACTCAAAAAAAAACATAGAAAGGAAAAAGGCGGAGGAAATAGTTTAATTTTTTTTTGATGTGTAAAATATTTTATTTAAACAAATTTTTTGTATGCAACCTTTGGCTTAAAAAGGTAAGGTGTATGCGTCAGGTTCTTTGTTCGATATGGTTGTACAAAACCCTTAGTTTGCGCCAATTATCGTTATAAAATCGGAATTGTAGGCTCATGTAACTTATTTTATTAAAGATCCTTGCCACTACACGCCACCAAAGAGGTCGCCTCTACGTCATTACGTCCGAATCTGGTATACATGAAATACTTAAATGAGTATTTAAACTGAAGCTTAGTAATACCGAAAGTTCTTCGAGAATCGGAAAATACCGTTCTGAGGCTTTCGACACTACACAAGGTTTCATATAACCTAACTGTCTCTCGTGTGATCTTTTAAATCTAATGCTGGAGAAAATAATACAAGATGTTGAACAAAATATTTAAGGTACCTCTTTTACCGAAGGGACTATAGAAGAGTTATTGTTTTTATTTTTTACTTTTATAACATTGAAAAGCTTAACGATGAAGGGTGAAGAGTGTAGTCTGCAGGTGACCGAGTGTAGAGCGAAATATTTATCGTCTGCCATCTAGTAAACTGTGAGTATAATCGCGGTGTTAGCACCAATTGGATGCTAGTCTGGAAAACTAACTAAGAATAAGTCTTACCTACTTTGCATATTGGACTGAGCAAACAATTACAAAGTAAACTGTGGTCTCGACGAAGAAAGAGCAAACACTTCAAGTAACACAACATTTCTGTCCTCATGTCTGCTACAGTAGCGTAACATCCATTCTGCATATCGCGACTGTGACATGGCTCAGCGGCTTAAGTAACTTCAGATATACTGACACCGTCACGGTGTCGGGATGTATAAAATGGTAAGGTCGCATGGAGAAGAACCTTACCTAATTTGGTATCTTCAGTTTGTTGCCGAGCGGCAAAAAGAAGAACCGAGCACCGAAGAGTCGAAGAGAAAAGAACAAGAAGCGAATTATGTCTGAGCTCCTTCTCAAATTTTTGGTATGTCATTAGATGTAGATTTTCTAACAAATGAGTGGATCTACAATTTTAATCTACCCTCGAACTATCCTTCATATGGCGAATTGCAAGAACAAAATATTTTGAATGCCATTCCCAATAGCGATGGCTTACAAGTAGAATCACCCCACCTTTAACATTTGACAAAATTGTTGAGGTCGTGATTAAATAAGCAACTGACCAATCAAATTTCAATTGAAACTTTTTGATTCATTAAAAATTGTTAGTTTGACAATAAAAAACCAATTATTTTTTACCCCAAAAATCAAATATTATTTTTTAGAGCTACGTAATTTTTTTTTTTAAATTTTTGAATTTTTACAAAAGTGATGTATGGAAAAAAGCTTCAACTTTAATAAACTTTTTGATTTTTTTTTTTGTGTCAGCTACTTATTCAGCCGGAATCATAGCAGCAGTTGGGGATCACAAGCCCTGGTCTTCAGAAGGAAACTGTGCGATTCATATTTCCTGTTGGGCGGTGCTCATATTTAGTTGAAACTCTTTCTTTAATTATACATAAATATTGTTCTGGTCAGGATATGGCCAAATAATAGTACGCACTGCAATTTCGTCCGTCTACGGCGACTGCATTTAATTTTTTAAACATCAAAATCTAATTCATGTTGGACTCAGCAATATTTGAAACGACGTCAACATGAATTGGCAGTAGGCACAATAACTGCCCACTTGCTTATTAACTGATTCCTATTTTAGATTGGGTCCTCATTCAAATGTCCTCAAATACATACAAACATTTATGCGGGGACATGGAGAACATAACTTTCCTTTAGTTGCATGGTAATATCAGTTCTGGCAACTTACATATATTTGTAGGTCCATGCTTACAAGTGGCCATTTATATATTTCTGTAGTTTAATTTCATGAACGAATTAAAGTCCTGCCAAAATATTTTGTTTGCTGCCAGTTCCATTTCCATTTACAGTTCCGCATGCACGACCAGCCCAGTGGCTATTCCCAAAAGCCATTTCCTACAAACACAATACAGCCGAAACATTCTCATCGTCGTCGTTGTTGTCGTGGCGGCACTCTTTGGCTTTTTTGGGGGTCCACTACCTACGAGTTATTATTGTGCTTAGTTTATGCCGCTTTTCGGCTACTTATGCTTCAACATCGCATGCTGGCAATTGTATTTGTCGTTATGTGGGTGGTGTTGTTGTTGTAGTTGTTGTTTGTGACATACCATTTCCTGCAGCTACTCTACCAACTTGTATTGGCTAATAAAATCGAGATAAGCGGCGCTCAATTGTACTTTGTGCATTTACCAAACACTGAATTGTTGTTGCTTACTTTGTATGTATGTTTGTTTGTGTGTACGTATGGTTGTGTATATGTTTTTATTCAAGTATGAAGTGTTTGTTTGTTTCTTATTGGTAAAGTCAGAATTCGAATTGTTTTCTGTTTTTGTTTGAAGTGTTTTATATTTGTTTTCTTCTTCTTCTACTTCTTATATTGCTCTTCTTCTTGCTGCTGCTGTTCATGCTGGCGTAGATTTATACTCGCTTAGAATTAATAAATATAAACTCAATGCACAACAAAAAGCGGCAGCAAATCAGCATTGAGTGCTAGTTGTTTTAGACGGAGAGAAAGAGAGAGAGAGAGAGATGGAGCGAAAGGCAGATAGGGTGGGAGAGAGAGAGAGAGAGAGAGATTTTGGCGTGGCTCAGAGGTCATAAATCATTAATATTCCACTTTTTCCTCAATACACTCTAGCTGTAAGTTATTAATTTAAATAGAAAGGTGAATGCTGTAACTGAAATATGTGTTCAAGGCTTGACTTTTGACTTGAAAAGAGATAACACAATTTTATTTATGTCGAAAAAAATTTTTTCTCTCTTAATTTTGCAATGAGCGCGTATATATGTGCGTAAACATATGCATACAGAACTGTGTTAATATGTATGTAGATGGGTGTTGAAGTCACAAAATATATTGTATTTATTTAAAAAAGCAGAAAATTAAAATTTTGTACGCAGCTCACCTGTCATCATAAACAAATCCGGCTTTCAGTGTGTTCAGATATAATACAAAAGCAAGCGTACAACAACCTAGGCTCGTAAAGTCCATACTGTAATGAAAAATCGAGAGAAAGAGAGAGAGATATATATAAATCTATTATTATATTAGTTTGGAAATATATTTGGATATGTCATTGTTTGTAGAATTCAATACAAATACGGGTTTATTAAATATGCGTATGTATGTAAAATAAATTTTTACTCTCTATATAAAAATTAGTATGTTATATTTGAATATTTTATTTGTATATATGCATACGCACGTACATACTTGTATTTGTATATATATATATACTTTGAGTATTATGCACTTTGTATTGCACAAAAACTATGCTGGCAATGATAAGCTTAAATTGACTAGCAAAAACTAAAATACTCAGCTTACAATTCAAATGTTGTTAGTTTAATGTACATACATATGTATCCATAGGAACATATAATGTGTTCATATTACTATAGGCGTACATTTGGCAGAATTGCTCACTTATTATTATTTTCATAGACAATGTCTAATCTTTACCCAAAATCGCATAAGCTGCAATTGCTTTTACGGTATTTTTGATGAAAATTTAGTTATTTGCTCTATTGAGTTGAGTATATAAAAAAATAATAAGAGATGAAAAAAATATGGCACAGGGAAAATTATAAAAAAATTTAATTATTGTAAAAAAAATTGTTTGTTTTAAATAACGTTTTTTGGATTGCCATTGTGCCTTTGGCGTGAAGCCTCGAAAATATTTTGTTTTTTAATTTTTAATGTACTTAGTTTTTGGTCCAGGCATGGGCTCGATCTAACTACTGAGTCGAATACATTGATAATTCTTTCAATTTCGTCGTTTGCTATCATCAATGTGTATGTCATTAACAAAGTCACTTATATACAATTGTCGCTTTGTAATCGCTGAAGCCATTCTCGTCCGAGCTCGTTCTCCAATTAATGGTGGTTTTGCGTCTTGATGTTTTCCAACAAATGGAGGAAAATGGAGCTTATACCAAGCCGCCTCCGAACGGCTGATGGTTTTTTATCAGCAGCCTTTATTTAATGTCAGAAAAACACTCGGATGGGTTGAAATCCCTGCCAAGGGTTGACCGCCATTAGAACATTTTTTTTTAATTTTTATTTAAATAAATTTTTTATAACATTTGGATTTTTTTTTTACCGGGACTTGAGCCTGGGCCTACCAAATGGCAGTACGCAATGCGAAACACTCGGCTACCACGGCCGCCATGTCATCTACAAAGTAACTTTCTTCTAGTAATAAAATGTTCACCAGAGCTATGCCTTGGTATGAATTTTACAGTGAAAGATTTTAAAATGTTACGTATACGCACTGTCATTCAAGACTAAAATAAGCGGCTATGAATCGAAAACTAATTAACGTAAAAATTGAAAAGTTAAAAATAGCAACTTGCAAATGTGAAAGTAGCTTCGTTTTATTTCAACTTTGATTATTAGAAAAATCGAATATTCCTAATAATTTGCAAAATGTAAAAAAGTGTATAAAAATACTAGTATCAATTACAAACTATCAATATCTTTGTAGTAAATTGTTATATCTAGAAATTGCTTCTTACTAACTTTGAACTTAAAATGTACATTTTGGTATATGTAGAAAGATTAATGTAATGTTTCAATATATGCACATATGTGTCAATATGTAAGTAAGTGTGAGAGTCACTTATTTGCTTGTTATAGTGTAAAAGTACTGTGAATAAAATGTTAACCATTTTTTGGTTTTAACTTTATTTTCCGTAAAAATATTTATTGTTATATTTTTTATTATATTTTTCTTCTTGTATTTGGGCCTGGATTTTTCGGTTAGGCGTGTTCAGCAATCACTACCAACAAACGAATGAAAATATTGTACATTCACTCATTCACTCACCCGCTCACACACTCACTCACTTTCTCACGTGCTCACACACTCACTTATTCATTCATTCATTTATTTACTTGCTTACTTCAGTTACATAAACGTATATGTTTCTCGGTGTTTTGTTGTTTATATTGACTGTCTCTTGTTGTTGTTATTATTTTAAATTGCCCTGCCCAGTAGCAAACATACATATGTATTTACATATGTACATAGTCGCAATAGTAGTAGTTTGCTGACGCTGTCACTGCTGTTGTGTTGTCAGTTGTAAATGTAAATAAATAAATAAATTGTTTGCAAAAATGTTTTATTGCCTTCGAAAATACATACATACACACAGTGATGCTGAGTGCCGAATATAGACCGCTACCGACTTTGCTGAAATTTGAATTTTAAGCACAACACAAATACTCGTAGTTACACTACAGATACAGTTTTGTTGAAAATGTTATGGCATCACATATTCATTCAAATTCCTGCCTCCCGATTTTTCCCGTCTGTCGCCGGGCGAACAACATGCCACACACCATCATCTATTCGGTTCGTTTATGAAAATTTTATACAATTTTAGAGTTCCACTATATATATTAGTAGCATACCCGTAGTGAGTGGTTGGAAAATTTACAAATTATTTTATTTCGTATAAATTTTTTATTTTCTTAGAATTGAAAGTAATGCATATTCACAAATGATGCAATAATTATAATAATGGGTTAGGGATCAGTAAGTGTTCAAAAATTCCGTATTAACTTGCTCCATACATGTCAGGTGTCACAGTTGGAGTGAACTAAGGAGCATTCACATAATGGATGCCAGCAGGATGCATATTGGGTAATGTGGATGTTTGAAGGTTTGACCTGAATTGAGGTCTTCTGAGCTTGTAATTTTTTTTGCTCGTTTAAAAGGTAATAAAATATGCAACTCTTATGTAAAATTCGAGGAAATATTTGAATAGCTAATAAAATTCTATAAAGTCGTTGAGGTTAAGTATCAGTTTTATATTGTAGTAGTTAAGTTAAATGAGCTTTAGCAACTGAAAATTATTGGAACTAGGTGAGTTCTTGTTTAATATTATTGAAGACTCTGATGTGACATTCCTCTGGGAGAAAGTAGAGTAAATATTATTTGAGTGCTTATTGGCACATAGTTATATCGAAATTAATCAGTTTTCTTTGTCCGACCCACATGCTCAATTATAGAAAATTAGTTTTCTAACTCCGACCGATATGCCGTTAAAAGCTAATTAAAAAAATCCATCAACTGTTCGAAGGCGGCTTACAGCGAACTGTAGGTCTATCTATTTGTTCAGAAATCAGAAGACGAACACCACAAGTTGCTGAAGGAAATCGGCTGAAAGTCGTTGCAGCGGTTCAAAGCATCAATCACATACTTTAAGACCAGAAAGCTTCCGGAAATTGTTTTTTGTTTTTCGATATTCGGCTTCGGCTTGATTCAACACGAATTCGTTCCGCCATTACAGATGGACAATAGAGAGTATTATTTGAGGGTTTGAGGCGTTTGCGCGAAGACATCCGTCGTAAACGATAATGCGCCAACGCACCAAGATATAGATGTGAACGATTTTAAGACCAAAAACTCGTTCAATATCATCGATCAACCACCGTATTAACCGGATTTTGCAGATTTCCTAGCCGAATCCTATATATATTTGTGTGTTGATAGATTGGTATTTTCATTTGTGGAATTAATGTATTCAACGTGAGTGATTTTCATTCAATATTTTGTAATTGAACTGCGCGGGAGGCAGCCTTCATAGTCTTCAGAGGGGGGCTTACTTTTTTATACCTAAAATTGAAAAGCCTCATGAAAAACCAAGGAGATGAAGCTAAAAAAGGCATTTTGCTTAAAATACATCATCTTTTGACTTTAGAGACCCCTCTTTCGGCTCTTTTGGCATGTCTACCAGTATTCCGAAAATTTCTTAATTATTGCTTGCTAATTGCTTGATCTTAGCTAATTGAGTGCTTGTGTGAACAAGTCTTTTTAATAGATCCGATATAATATATTTACTGTTCTAGAAATATAGTAAATATTTTATATCTTGAGCATCAAAATACTTACAATCTTCATGCAGAAAGATATGGACCAGAGAGTTTGTATGGAATCTTGGGTAAAAAACCGTATTATAACAAATAACGATATAACAAAGAATGTGAAATTTCAACCCAAATATATTGTGAGACTACCATGAGAAGAGCAAGCGTTTACAAGTGGAGATGCCGAATTAAACAAATACTTTTTAAGCTCTGTACGAGGGCAATCTACAGTAAATGCAAAAAAGACAACGGGGAAAAGTGAAGGATATGGTTTGAGAAATAGTTTATGATGTTAGCATATCAGTTCGATCATGTTAAGACAATTTTCCCATTACAATTTCTTGATTATGCACTGTTACTAGTTATTTATTTCAAATACGGAAGGCGACATCATCCGGAAATATTATGTTATTGTATAAGACGTATAATGATAATTTTATAATTAATATATTATTGTTTGAATATTGCTTTTAAAGTCTGATGATTTTCATAAATTCAAGTCCCTACCCGATTTAATACAATCAAAAGTTAAATTGTTTTCTATTTTTTATTATTTATTTTTTTTTCTAATACTTCTATCGGCAAGGACAGTTAATTACACCGAGTGTGTCAACTTTTGAAAAAAATGTAACAATGTTCGCTTCACATTTTAATTACTTCCCTTAAATCACTAATTCTTCTGGAAATGGAGTTGAACTATATTTAAAATAAAAAATCCTTGCATAATAGTTATGTTTGCAGACTGTATTTTTTTTTTTTTGCATTCTTTTAACTGAATTTCATATGTTAAAGTTTTCTTTTTTTTTACAGGCATTTAATTCAAATTTTGTTTAATTGTTTTTTTATATCTAAAGGTCTTGATTTCGAAAGATTTTCACAAAAGTTAAATTAAGCTTATGTATTGAATAAGCCTGTGAAAGAATTGGCGTGCTCAGATTTTTAATAAATTAGACCAAATTGATTTTTTAAATGAATCCAGATAAGCTCGTTGGATTTGCTTGAAAACCGTATTTGTTCAGAAATAAAATATGTCGAATTCTTAGAAATTTTAAGTTTAGTTAAGCAATCAAACTGATTTCAGTGATGGCTAAAAGGTGATGAAAATGTGTGTACAAAAAT